GTTCTACTCGAGTTTTATTATGTTAATGTCGAGTTTAAAAATTATGTAGTCGTTCAACCCCTAGTGAACACACATGTGAATCAGTGGTCTGCCATTTAAGATGCTGGGGGAGCAGCTGGGGGGTGGGGGGCAGTTAAGGGCTTTGCTCATGGGCCCAGAGTGGGGTAAATGAGGGTGGAGGCAGGTGTGGGTGTTTCAACTTTTCCACCCACATTTTGAAGCTGTCGTTCCGGGAGTTGAACCGAGGCGACCCTCTAATCATAGGCCCACCCCTCTAACCTCTGTACCACCATTCCCACATTGAACAGGATGTTGGTATTTATTGTTGTTGTTGACAGTCAGCCTGTCAGCCTCTAACACAGAGAACAAAAAAGTTTTATAATTATTTTATTAATTTACTGGTATTGATGACAGCATCATTAAAGACGAGTTTAAACTCATTGGAGACTGCCAAGCAAATGCATGGCAGACACCTATTATTCTACACCTCAGAAGAGTGTCTACATTTCTATCTCCGTTAATGCGGCCCGAACCACAGCGTCTACTCCCACAAAACTTATATAAAAAAACGACCGGCTCGGCCCCGTGATGTGTGCTATTACTTTTATTGGCATTTCGAGTTACCATGGTGATGTAATTTGCTAACAAAGACGCAATATTTCACAAACTCCAGGGACTAGTTGGTGACTGCCCACTTATTATTCTACACCTGAAAAGCGTTTATTTTTCATCTTTAATCCGGCCCAAACCGCAACATGGACCCCCACAAAAGTTTTTTCAAAACGACCGGCCCGGCTCCGGGCAGTGTGCAATCACTTTTATTGGCATTCACAGTTACCATGGCGACATATTTTGAAACATGCCAAATTTACCATAGGAAATGAATAGGAGAAAACTCCACAGAAACTGAGTAACATATGGAGCCATTTTGGTTCAACATGCAAGGAAGGCAGTGCATTATGCAATGCATGGAAGGCACCTATTATTAACTATTATCACCTATTATTAATATTAATTAGTAATATTAATAATACATTTTAATTATAAATTCTTAATGTTAATAATGATCTGTTTTAAAATGAATAATTATTAATATTAATAAGTAATATTTAAAATTAATACTAATTATTTGTGTGGATATTATTAATATTGATTATTAATTATTAATACTGGAATAATTAATAAATTACCAATATATACATATTTAATAGTAATAATAATGATTATTATTTATTATTAATATTAATGATCATTAATATTAATATTTATTATTATTAATAATTTAATTATAAATAGGCAGTCTCGTCAAAGTTTCTCCAGGAACTTTCTAGTTGTAACTGCAGAGCACTAATTTTTCACAAACAAATAAGTTAGGATTACTGTTAACAATCAGTTTTTTAAACATGCTAGTTTTTATTTTAACTTTGAGCAGTTAGCTTTTTTATTATGACAACCTGTCAATAAACACATCTCTTATATATTAAATATTTAGCATTTTTAAATTGTCCAGAATTAAAAACACCTATAAGATCTTAAAAATAAACTAAAGTTTTTCTTATTTTTTTGTATCAGCTGCTTGTTAAACTCCCAAGTGTATTTGTGCTTAGTAAAAGCAACTTAATTTTAGTTTTGGCAAGTATTTATAAATCACGTTATTCTTTTGTTAATGCACTCTTTAAACATTAATAAACACTTGTCTTATTGTTTTATGAGGTTACAGAAGTTTACCTGTAAGACGTTGTCTGTGGTTTAGATGAGCATGTTCTGTAAAATAGTCCTAGTGGATCATCAGAACACGTTCTGTTCTTTATTTGACCTCTTTGTGACATGGATCCCTCTCTGTTAAAGCAGTGGTCGGACTGAACGCCTTCTGAATTCATAAAAAGGTGACAAACGCAAAAAGTTTAGACCCTCATCAAGGGCATTTGTTTGTACAATCCCACCCAGAACTGTGGAACAGCTGCAGTGGAGCCGCCGCCACAGGCTGGTCAGTCAAGGACAAACTCACCAGCTGCTCCAACCTTCAGCTGTGTGTGTCTGTGTGTGTGCTACACATGACATGTGTGTGAAGATACACCTGACCTTTTCACTTGTTGGAGGGAGTTAAAAAGAGCATTTAGATATATTTGGAAAACCCTGTTGGTCGTATTGTTCTACACCTGATAACATCCAGAACTCACAGCTACAGCTTCATTTAGAGCAGTGGTTCCCAAAGTGTGGGGCGCACCCCCTGGGGGGGTCGCAGAGCCATTCAATGGGGGTTTAGGTTCTTGTTTCACTGGATATTTGTGAGTGTAAATTTTAGAGTCACAAATATCCAGTGAAACTAGGAACACACGCCTGTGAGGAAAACTGTAAACTGTAATTAAAAAAATACACAACCTAACAACAGGCTGCTTTTAGAGAGTTATACAGGTCCTTCTCAAAAAATTAGCATATTGTGATAAAGGTCATTATTTTCTATAATGTAATGATAAAAATTAAACTTTCATATATTTCAGATTCATTGCACACCAACTGAAATATTTCAGGTCTTTAATTGTTTTAATACTGATGATTATGGCATACAGCTCATGAAAACCCAAAATGCCTGTCCCAAAAAATTAGCATAT